CCCTACGGTTCCCATTGTGTTTTTATTTATTTATATAACTGTCACAAAAAAATTCTCAAATACTCCACAATCAATACTCTACCCCCTCCGGAAACTTCTGAGAGCCCTGAGAAACAATCACAAGACACGCACGCGGAGGCTCCCTGAACAAGCCTCTCATCACGGTGAGCGGCCCGTGGGGGTCCTGCCTACCTGCCGGGCCCCTGGCTGCCAGTCAGCACACATCACCTCCTCATACATCAGTGTCTCGTTGCATTTGTGCTTCCCGTCTCCCTTTCTCCCCCCGTCTTGCTTGCGTCTCAAAAGTTGAGGAGTTTTCACAACTTATGAGCTTTCCTCAGGTCAGACGCTCTCAGGTGTGTATAAACGCTGTATTTCACTTCGAGACACACTGAGGGTGAGAAAGAACAGGGAAAAAAATCTAAAATAGGCCTTTAGAAATAACACAGTGACTTTCTTGTCATTTAGTTAAAACGATTTCTCTGACAGACAGATCCATGCTGTTTGAATAAATAAGAATAAATAAACGAAATAACAAATTTTTAGTTATAAAAAATGAATAAATTTTGATTGGAAAAAATACAAATAATAATACAAAAAAATATTTTTGAGACGTTGGAAAATAATAATTTCTTGTCAACTATCCATTTGCAGATCAGTCATTAAAAATATACTGTATATTGTGTAATATACACTATAATTCAAAAGTTTGGGATTAGTAAGATCTGTATTTAAAAAAAAAATTATGCTTTTTATTCATCAAAGAATTGATCAAAAGTGATAGTACACTTTTATGTTGTTACAAAAGATTTGTAACTTTTTATTCATCTAAGAATTCTGAAAAAAAGTATCACAGGTTCCAAAAATATTAATATTAATATATTAATATTAACGGTTTCCAACATTGATAATATATCAGAATATAAGAATGATTTTTTGAAGGATCATGTGATACTGAAGACTGGAGTAATGGTTTATAAAAATTCAGCTTTGCCATCACAGGCATAAATTATATTTTAAAATATGTTTAAAAATAAAAACTATATCTTAAATTGTATTAATACTTCACGATATCACTGTTCTTACTGTATTTTTGATCAAATAAATGCAGCCCTGATGAGCAGAAGAAAAAAACATTACTGATTGCAAACGTTTGAACGGTAGTGTGTGTGTAATAATTATTATTATTTATTTATTTTATTTATTTTTGAATCATGTTTTGTGCATCATTACCATTCCGGTCCGTCTGTCTGACGCTGGTCATCGTGTTGTCCTGTTCTCGAGCTGACAAGGGTCAAAGGTCGCCCGAAATGTGCCTGTCTGTCCTTTTAAATCAGAACGCTGTGGCTGAGAGTAGTGACATGTGAGGGACTCAGGTGTGTGTGACAGACGTCTGCTGAGATCTTCAATCACCAGCCCTGAACGGATTTGATCGTCATAGTTTGGACTTACACGGTACATTCAGAATCCTTCACTCCATTCCACCTAATCAATTAGCAGCTAAAGATATAGAAAAACAAACAAAATCACCTTTGAGCAGCTTTTTGACTAATGTTGTTGGCTTATTTTATGTACAAACAAGAAATGTTGCAGGGAGGTTTTCCATTTCTTCTCTGCTGTGACAAGGCAAAACTATTCTTGGTAAGTCTAACTTGATTGCCACTTGCATCAAGATGTAACACACACACACACACACACACACACACATACACACACAGTTCAGCAAGTTTTTTGAAATTCATCAAGGATGCATTAAATTGATTAAAAGTGAGAGTAAAGACATTTATAAAGGATTTCTATTTCAAATAAATGCTGTTCTTTTGAACTTTCCATTAATCAAAGATCCTGAAAAATAAAATGTATCTATCATAGTTTCCACATAAATATGAAGCAGCAAAACTGTTTTCATCATTGATAATAATCAGAAATGTTTGTTGAGCAGCAAATCAGCATATTAGAATGATTTCTGAAGATCATGTGACACTGAAGACTGGAGTAATGATGCTGAAAATTCAGCTTTGATCACAGGAATAAATTAAATTTTACAATATATTCACATAGAAAACACTTACATTTTTAATAATATTTCACATTTTTACTGTTTTTTTGATCAAATAAATGCAGCCTTGATGAGCATTAAAAGTGTTTTGAATGGTAGTGATTTACACAAATGTTCTGCTCATGTTCCATGAATAACACCCAAAATTCTTAAAAGTGAACATTAGTCGCCAGTTGCTCAAAGCAGACAAAAGATGAGACAGGAGTCGTTTCAATGCACACCTTTGCATCTTCTAGAAAGATTTTAGTTGCATTTTAAACAAAACATCGGACAATGAGTCTGGGATTCTGAAAGCTGAAATTGTCAGAGTCTGATTCTGAACTGGACGCTCTGATTCAGTGGAGTGACAGTATCTTGTTTGACGGCTCTGCTCTGGATTTCGTGCTACGCTTCTCTAATCAGTCACTCGTTCGCCTTGATTCCTTCTCTTTCTACTTCCCATCAGCCGACACAGGTTCAGCTCCCTACGGTTCCCATTGTGTTTTTATTTATTTATATAACTGTCACAAAAAAATTCTCAAATACTCCACAATCAATACTCTACCCCCTCCGGAAACTTCTGAGAGCCCTGAGAAACAATCACAAGACACGCACGCGGAGGCTCCCTGAACAAGCCTCTCATCACGGTGAGCGGCCCGTGGGGGTCCTGCCTACCTGCCGGGCCCCTGGCTGCCAGTCAGCACACATCACCTCCTCATACATCAGTGTCTCGTTGCATTTGTGCTTCCCGTCTCCCTTTCTCCCCCCGTCTTGCTTGCGTCTCAAAAGTTGAGGAGTTTTCACAACTTATGAGCTTTCCTCAGGTCAGACGCTCTCAGGTGTGTATAAACGCTGTATTTCACTTCGAGACACACTGAGGGTGAGAAAGAACAGGGAAAAAAATCTAAAATAGGCCTTTAGAAATAACACAGTGACTTTCTTGTCATTTAGTTAAAACGATTTCTCTGACAGACAGATCCATGCTGTTTGAATAAATAAGAATAAATAAACGAAATAACAAATTTTTAGTTATAAAAAATGAATAAATTTTGATTGGAAAAAATACAAATAATAATACAAAAAAATATTTTTGAGACGTTGGAAAATAATAATTTCTTGTCAACTATCCATTTGCAGATCAGTCATTAAAAATATACTGTATATTGTGTAATATACACTATAATTCAAAAGTTTGGGATTAGTAAGATCTGTATTTAAAAAAAAAATTATGCTTTTTATTCATCAAAGAATTGATCAAAAGTGATAGTACACTTTTATGTTGTTACAAAAGATTTGTAACTTTTTATTCATCTAAGAATTCTGAAAAAAAGTATCACAGGTTCCAAAAATATTAATATTAATATATTAATATTAACGGTTTCCAACATTGATAATATATCAGAATATAAGAATGATTTTTTGAAGGATCATGTGATACTGAAGACTGGAGTAATGGTTTATAAAAATTCAGCTTTGCCATCACAGGCATAAATTATATTTTAAAATATGTTTAAAAATAAAAACTATATCTTAAATTGTATTAATACTTCACGATATCACTGTTCTTACTGTATTTTTGATCAAATAAATGCAGCCCTGATGAGCAGAAGAGACTTCTTTAAAAAAAACATTAAAAAGCTTACTGATTGCAAACGTTTGAACGGTAGTGTGTGTGTAATAATTATTATTATTTATTTATTTTTTCTTAAACTGAATCATGTTTTGTGCATCATTACCATTCCGGTCCGTCTGTCTGACGCTGGTCATCGTGTTGTCCTGTTCTCGAGCTGACAAGGGTCAAAGGTCGCCCGAAATGTGCCTGTCTGTCCTTTTAAATCAGAACGCTGTGGCTGAGAGTAGTGACATGTGAGGGACTCAGGTGTGTGTGACAGACGTCTGCTGAGATCTTCAATCACCAGCCCTGAACGGATTTGATCGTCATAGTTTGGACTTACACGGTACATTCAGAATCCTTCACTCCATTCCACCTAATCAATTAGCAGCTAAAGATATAGAAAAACAAACAAAATCACCTTTGAGCAGCTTTTTGACTAATGTTGTTGGCTTATTTTATGTACAAACAAGAAATGTTGCAGGGAGGTTTTCCATTTCTTCTCTGCTGTGACAAGGCAAAACTATTCTTGGTAAGTCTAACTTGATTGCCACTTGCATCAAGATGTAACACACACACACACACACACACACACACATACACACACAGTCTGCAGGGCTACACTGTCGTATGATCCTGGAAGACACAAGTGAATTGCGATTTAGTTGGGACGTTTCTCGAACCCTCTCCCCTGACGCCCACTCAATGCCCACTGATATTACTACAGTGTGGCTGAAAGAAAACAAACAAATGCTAAAGAGAACGTTGATTGGGAATTATTTTGGTTTTCCTATGTTCTTCTCTCCACCTCGGAAGGTCCCAAAACATTTGCAGGATGAATAAACAGGTACAATTCCTTAAATAACCCCTTAAATTCAAGATCAGCAATATGTGATCCTCATTGGGGTGACTAAAAAGGTGTTTTGGATCAGACAAAAATCAGTTTTCATATGCAGGCGTGAGTGCATAGGTTCCTGCAAAAGAGTCTTCCTGTCCACGTCAGTATTAATAACCAAACTCTTGCGGATGCATTTGGCATAGGTATAAAATAAACAATTGTCCTTTAGGTCTGTAGCATTTCACACCCTCCTATAGACTGATTAACATATATTTAAATATATAATTCCATATATATATATTCATGAGTGAAAAAGGAGGATAACAAAGCAAAACGAAAGAGAAATCTAAAGCTCTAAGTTAACTCGGTAGGTCTCATCTTCTTAAAATCACAGTAATATTTAGATATTTAAAATTATTACGATTAAAACACAGTGCCGATACAGAGAAACGAAAGAAAACGTCAAACGCCACACAGAGGAAGATCTCTATTACTGAGTTAGGAGGGTGTGATTTAGCCTCACAAATTGGAAGGGAGCTTAGAGCGGAGCGGTTCTAGTTCAGACGGGTGGCCGTCGGAGGCTCGTGGGAGAGAAAGTGCAGGTGACGTCCCTATAGAACAAGCTTGGCCTCGAGAGCCCGGTGAAGTCTGTACAGGGCCGACCATGTGCCCTGATACCGAGCTACAGGGTTTGGGGGTGAGCGTCGGGGACGAATATGGCGAGAGGCAGTAACCGGGCTCCCGAGGGGAAGACTGATCCGCTGCCTCTACGGGATGCGAGCAGGACAGTATGTTCAAATCCTCATAAAAGCGGCCCAGTGGAGAGTCTGTGCCGGAAGAGTGGTGACCTGGGAGTTGCCCGGGGCAGGAGGACTGCGGGAAGAGCAGGGAAGTGTGGGAGCCGGCGGTGCTGGAAAGGTCACTGTAGTGGAAAGTTCTCCCCGTGACGGGGCTCTGGATGGTCGGACTCGGGGCTAGAGGGGTGTAGCACGGCGAGGTGTTCGCTGAGCCGTACTGAGCAAGCAAGGCCAGCGCTGACCTTTCCAAAGGAAGGTAAGTGGATAAAGCGGGTGGGATCTGGGATGACGTGGAACTCTCGGGGGCTTGGGAACGGCTGGAAGCAGGGGATCCTGGTGGGGGAGTGTGGAAGAGGTTCAAACCAGTGGAAGTCTTGCCCCCTCCGGTAGCAAATTGCTGCAGGGAGCCCGTTTGAGAGGGTTTTGGTGGGGGTTGGCCATGCAGCAATTGACTGGGTGCATGGCTGAACAAGCCTGTGGAAAGAGGGCTAGTATTCGATGAGGTTGTAGCCAAGATCCCAGTTGGAAATCCTGCTTGGAGATGTCCCGATTGTGGAGGAGTGCTGGGAGCGACGGCTTGCTTTTGTCTTGGCTGCAAATGGAGCTGTGCAGTGATAGAAGTCGGAGACGCCGATGAAGAAGAGAAGCTTCCAAATGGGAATGATGAAATTCCGGCTTGCTGGCTGGAAGTGGTTGCTCCTGATGAGTGCTGCGTCCGGAGGGATGCGAGAAGCGGCGTATCGACTGCCGGACAAATCTTTGATGGGGAACCGGATGGAGAGTCACCAGCTGATACAGGTTTTGGTGCGATTGTCTGAAACCTCTTCAGCTGGCTGGTCGGCTCATTTCTCAATCCGAGAACGGACACCGGAGGTCGGAAGAGAGTGGCGGGGAGGTGGGGGTGGTGGGTTAGTGCAATAGCGACCGATGTGGTAGCGGCAGCAGCTTGTAGAGGTGCTTGGATCAGGGGAGCCCAGATGACGGGAGTAGGGGACGGAGGAGCAGGCGGCGACGGACTCTGCATCAGGTCGGCGCAGTGAGCCATGTCTCGATCGTGCTGCACGATCTGCTGGATGATCTCACTTTCCTGGTAGTTCAAAACCCCTGAATTCAAGTCATGTTGGACCTTGTGCTGGAGAATAGAGTTCTTCTTCCCTAAGAGATGAAAGACAAAAAATCTCATTTGTAGTCAGCAGAAAACATATCTTTTAAAAACAACATTAAGAAGAAGTACTGTTGTATTACTATTTTGTGGACATGATAGAATGGTAATACCATGGTTTTGTTGTAACTCTATATTCTGTTCTATAATTCTTTGGTATATGAATATGGTAGCCATTCAGTACCATGGTATTACCTTTTTTTGTACATTATAGCATGGTAATACTGTGGTTTTGTTGTTATTCTGTATTCTGTTCTATAATTCTATGTATGTAAATATGGTAATTGTTCAATACCATGGTACAGTATATATCAATTGGCACTTTTCCACTGCGTGGTACGACTCGGCTCGGCACGGCTCGGCTCGGTTTGCGCTTCCACTGCAATTTAGCATCACTTTAGAGTGGGCGGGATTATTCACGTCGTTAGTTGCGCCGCCTCTACTGCCGCATTTGGCATAAGTATAAAATAAACAATTGTCCTTTAGGTCTGTAGCATTTCACACCCTCCTACAGACTGATTAACATATATTTAAATATATAATTCCATATATATATTCATGAGTGAAAAAGGAGGATAACAAAGCAAAACGAAAGAGAAATCTAAAGCTCTAAGTTAACTCGGTATGTCTCATCTTCTTAAAATCACAGTAATATTTAGATATTTAAAATTATTACGATTAAAACACAGTGCCGATACAGAGATAACGAAAGAAAACGTCAAACGCCACACAGAGGAAGATCGCTATTACTGAGTTAGGAGGGTGTGATTTAGCCTCACAAATTGGAAGGGAGCTTCGAGCGGAGCGGAGCGGTTCTAGTTCAGACGGGTGGCCGTCGGAGGCGCGTGGGAGAGAAACATTTTTCATTCCGCGTCGCCCCATCAAGCTCTCGCTGGATCCGCTCCTCTGCTATCAAGGAGAGGAACGTCTGTAAATTTCCTCAACAGACAACGAAACAGACATTTTTGGTTGTTAAAAAAAGGTGCGCTCATTCAAAACAGTGGCATTCGATCCTTCGCTGGCTGTGCTGATTTAAATCTAGCGGTTCTGTTGTGTTTGTGTTGCAAGTTCAGTGACGCAGGTAGTGACGATTCTCTCCGGCCAATCCGTGATCAGCAGAGTTTACACGTCACGTTTTGGTAATGGTACGGTTCACTTGGAACCTCAACCGAGGTGGTACTAAAAAAAGTACCAGGTACTGTACCCAGTGGAAAATAGCAGACGCTTTTATCCAAAGCGACTTACAAATGAAGACAATAGAAGCAATCAAAATCAACAAAAGTGCAATGATATGCAAGTGCTATAACAAGTCTCAGTTAGCTTAACGCAGTACATTTTTTTAAATTATATGGGTTATGGGTTAAGGTGTAAGAATGTCTGTACTAAGTAATTTGTTAGTATTTTAGCTGCTTGCATTCTTTCTTCAAACTGATCATGGCTTTTTTTATTAATACCCACTAAAAATGGAATTATTCACCCTTAGGCAACGCCTTGAATATTAAATATCAAACGCAGCACTCTGCTCGATATGTCTACTGTTTCAACAGCGCTTTGATTCATCTCACACACTACATCACCCCTGTTAAACAGTCCTGGAGCCTGGGCTCGCCTCAGGACGGCTCCGAGCGCAATCAGAGACGGAGGGGCTGCTCGCGGTGAGGACACAGGCCGAATGGAAATAGCTCAGCGTAGCAGGGGGCAGATCATTTCTACGGGCTGACCTGCCTGCGTTTGACTGCTCCTCACTGCTGAGCCCCAGATAAGAAAGAAAACAAAAATAGAGTGCAGACACGACCTTCACCTTACGCCGGACTGATATAAACAAGAGACCAATAGCCTGGATGAGCAGAGGGCACTTTGCTATGTTTGATAATGTCACGCTATCACTTACTACTGTACTCACACTGGGGCTGGTGCGGAGCCGAGCATGACATAAGAGGCTTTTGCTCTTCAGGCAATACAATAATAGAAATAAAAAAACATGCTTTTAAAGAGTATACTTGATTTATTCTGTATTGTAATTATTATTGATTTATTATCTATCTATCTATCTATCTATGGCTGGGTAAAAAATATCGATATCTCAATATTAATCGATTCTCATTTTTACGGAACGATATCGATTCTTAAATCTAAGAATCGATTAGTCTTGCCTGTTTTCAGTTAATGGACGGAACGTTGAAAGGGCACTTCCCATCAATAAATCGCAATAAGCATTGCGCTTTGGTACTTTTAATATGAAACAAAGTCTCAGATTTCAAATTCTTTCCATTGTATTGCAGTATTCAAACAATAAATGCCGTTTTGGGCGTTGTTTAATGTGAAGTGACAGATCGCTGTAGCGCCTCGATCAACAAGATGCGACAGCGCGAGGCGCACGTGAGCTGATCATCACCTCCACATTAATACCAGTTTCAGCACAAAATAAACATGACTAAACATCCGAAGGTAAGATTATAACTTTACAAGCCGTATCCTGTCTCATGTAATCGCTCAATCAGTGTTTCAGCCGCGCAAAGACATCATATAACGGCTTGTAAACAATGTCATGTATCGTCACATTTACCTCAGAAAAACATATTTGGTGACTCATAAACTCATTAGTTCTTCAATGCTTAATTTATGTTTGAATAAATCCATCAAGTTTTTATGACAGCCACCATTGTATTTATATTTAAAAAAAACTTAAACTGAAAGAATTGAAGTAGAAATATTATTATGTAATTGTAACTTTATTATTTTAAAAACTTCATTAAGTGTAATTTTAACAAATCAGTCAGTTTTAACAAATCAGTCAATTTTAACCTTCAATATTATAGTAATGTAGTACCAACTGACTCTTATATATATTTTACAGCATTAGTTGAGAGTTTTTTTTTCCCATGAGAAAATGTGGCATATATATCCAAAATAATCGATATTGAATCGAATCGAACTGGTAATCGAATCGAATCAAAAGCTTGTGAATGAGAATCAAATCGAATCGTGAAATTTGTGTCAAAACCCAGCCCTACTATCTATCTATCTATCTATATAATATTTATCCTTTATAATAAATTCTTAAATGTATATAATCATTTATAATTAATTTATAAATATAATAAATTATAAATTGTAGTAAATTTTTATGTGTATAATTATATGTATATATGTGTAATGTATATAATTATACATATATATTACATACATATACACATATATTGTATATATATATATATATATATATATATATATATATATAAACAAAACCAGATATTATTTTTAGGGTGAGCTCTTTGTCTTACTCAGAATGCCCCAATGCAGATTGTCTGAAACAATTCTGTAATAATAATTAAATAATTCTTATTTTCTTCAAAATAATCTGCTAAACTACAAATTGGATTAGAGTTGAGGCCATTTTCTGATAGGAAGAGGAGTGATTAAGCAGTGCTACACCGCAGGGACACAATCAACATGTGTGAACCTCAATTCATTTCAGTACAGATGCAGATCTATTTAATCTGTAATTAATTACTGGTGTCTGTATGTTATGAGTGACTGAGAGCAGCATGGGCTTAAAACTGCAGCAATCAAGAGGGTGCTCAGGAATAAAGAGAACATATGTATCAGTCCTCATACACAGAGCAGGTTTTGAAGGTGGTTTTTGTAGAGTTTCTCCAGTGTTTCCTCTATAATAAGCCCTCTTGCAGTCTCACATTGTGCGAACAGCTCAGCTATCAAATGATTCAGTTTGTTGTTTTTACCGCGCTGAGTGGGCTGAAGGAGCTGGATGTAGATGTTTACAGCGACGGACAAGAGCGTGTTCCCTCCTACTGAGGAAAATAAACACTATGTGCAGCGTAAACAGCAGTGAGACCTTCCCAAGCCCAGACTGACTGACTCAATAAGGCAGGAACCCCGAGACGCTGACAGAGAAATTACACTCCATTGTGAGACATTAGACACAAGAGGGAGTGAGAGTTTAAGTTAAGTTCAGTTTCAATTGGTGTACAGTAAGAGAAATGCATTATAATGAGACTAAAGCTGTTCCTGATTCAAGAACATGAAAATAATACTGATTTCACAGATTCTGTGTTCCTACAGCACAGTATACATACTGTATTAGTAGTATGGAGTAGTATGCTAAACTTCTTACCGATGCGGTCCAGGCGGTCCAGAGCGACGGTCTCAAACGCTCTCCTCATCATGGGATACTCCTCCAGGACCTCATTGAAGTTGTCCACAGACAGAGAGTACAGACGGCAGTATGTGTTGGCCCGGACGCTGGCGGTGCGTCTGCCTCGTGTCAGCAGACAAATCTCTGAACGAGAGAAGACATAAACACATCAGTGTGCACTTCTACCACGTACTGGTACAGAGATCCTGGCAGAGTTCTAAGAAGTGCAAATTATAATAAATAATAAATTATGATATATGCATTAACACCATAAACTGATGAAAATTATTATTATTTGGATTTATGAGCATTTCATACTGGAGTATTAAAACTACAGTTTTTTAAAGGTTTAAATGCAAATTATAATAAATAATAAATTATTATAAATGCATTTTACACTCTAAAAAATGCTGGGTTAAATACAACCCAGTGCTGGGTAAAATAGGGACAAACCCAGCAATTGGGCTGTTTTGACCCAGCGGTTGGGTTAAATGTTTAACCCAACCTTCTGGGTAGTAACCCAACCGCT